TTGTTTAAAAATATGTCAAAAAACGTCGTTTTTCGAACAGAAAATATAGTGGACAAGAAGAACTTTTGTATTGTAAATACTTCATAAAGTACTTTATCGGCCATGGCCTATAAAATTAAGTGTATAAAGTGTTGCATACCGATTAGAATTCTCAAATCTGAATAGAATTAAATTCAAAGACGCCAAATTTGTCGCGTCTCTATTTTGTGGGGACATGCCCGTAATGAATTATTCGCCACTACTTATTTCTTGTAATTTTGTTTTGACACTAATTTTTAAAACACTAGGTAATTAAATTAATCTGACATGCCTACGTTGACACGACATAAATTGTTCAATTGTTCTCATAGCCAACTCAGTTAAAGAAAAATTATTGTTCAGATTCTACATATTTTTTAATATTCGAAAAAGCAATGTATGAAATAGACGAAAAGACAAAAAGTGTTTTTTTTTCTGGACTACGATTCGCCTGAAGAACTCAACTTTTCGTCCTTGTAACATAAACTACTATTGTAATTCCTATTGCCTATTGTTTGAATTAATATTTCCATTAGTACTAAAAGTAATTTGTACAGTGCAAAGAGCTTGAAATATATTTCAAGCTCTTTGGTACAGTGTCTTGTTCTCCCCTAATCTGTGATCTGTGATGCTTGACTATTCTTAGTTATACGGCTTACTCATAGAGGACGCAAGAATTATTTATATTTATCGTTAGGCAACACTTAATACAAGGTTGTGTATTGTCGTTAACATAATTACGCAAAAATTCTTTGTATATTATACGATTTCCTTGAAAATCACTTTTAATGCCTACTATGTTTGAATTAATATTTCTATCAGTAATAAACACTATAAAAAAAGTAATTTTTAATGTGTCTTGAGTTGATAACAATAATACATTTCTAAAAAATAAAAGCAATACATACTTTTAAAATTCTAAAAATAACAAACAGGATCGGCTTGGCTCAGCTAAATAACATACTTGTAGGTAGGCATACCGAATTTAGTTGTTAATTCACTCATTCATCACTGCACTTTAAAATAAAGATTAGTTTATAATAATTTAGATTTGAATGAGTTTTTTGATTGAGTACAAAAGTACCTAAATCGATATCTACCTGGGATTTTAAAATTATATCTTTTGTCAACCAACTGTAGTTTCTTTGTTTTTTTTTTGTAACAATGTTTCTGATATACCTTGACGTTATTTTTGAATACCTGGTTTGTTCTGGAATGTTTGAATAAAAATTTTGTTCTGTTGGGTAGGGATAGGTAGATACAACTACGACGCGTGATAAAAAAATACGGTGAATAATTTTATTAGAAATAAAGTTATAAGATTACATAGAATTCGTCTTATTAATCTCCTTCAAGGTATTTTCTTAACTACACTGAAAAAATAGCCTCAATAACTTTAGTGTCAACTGTTTACGAAAAAAATCGGCAAAGTTTTTTGTATCAAGAACTTCCGTCGATATAGAAATTGTAAAAACAGGGAACTTCAATTAAATATTTCTTACTGCACGTCCGCCCGATGTTCTTCAACACGTTCACCTTTATTGAACGATAATGATTGGCTGCTTTTAAAATGTCCAGTTACACAAACCGAAAGAACGCTTTTTATTATTTACATTCAAAGGGGACCTATTTTGATTAAATACGATTCGTTACAACATCATTTTGAATTTTTGAAAATTTATTTAGGATTTGTTATCTTTGACTTCTAAAATACTCAGTTACCAATTTTAGTCGAAACCTACTTATAAAAATAAAAGATTTTGTATAAACTATTCAGCTTGTATATAACTGACCGGAAGTATAACTGGTTTTATGTCAGAAAGGAGCCTTTACCTGCATACAAAATTTGATATTTTCTCTAAAGCCATTTTTGAGATATCGCGCCAACAGACTGATAGACAACGACAAATAGACCGACAGAATGGCGAAACATGTTTTTTTCGTAATCTATGGATCCTGAAACGTCAAGATCAGAAATAATCTAGGAGGGTGACTTTTTCACGATTATAATGCCTCTTATCGAGAGAAGTAAAAGTTACACAAAACTAATTTTTTTTGTATATCCCAATGTGTAAGGCATATACGATTTTAAACAGAATCAAATAGTAGGCGAGTACACAACGAAATGAAATATGCTCCAAAGGCATGTACCATTTTATTTTACCAAAACGGCACCTGTTCCAAGACTTTCCTGAGCAAAATGGTTAAAAAACATAAAGCCATAGTGGTTTGCGGAAGTAAACAAATACTTTATCGGACTGTAAAAATCTAATGTATTTTATATGCCTCGAATATTTATTAACATAGCCAAGAAATAGTCTGTAACTGATTTGTTTTGTATTCGCTGTTATTTTTCTGTTTGTTTACATTGTCATAATAAAATGTGACGTCATAATATATCATTTTTATTAAATATATGGACCACATCGGCAAAGTGTTTTTATCGAACTCGTCTGGTACTCGCCTCTCTCGCTTCTCTCGCTTGGCTCATAATGTCAGGTTAGTTCGATAAAGAATTACTTTGCTGACTATTATATTTAAAAAATCACATAAGACATGACAGCCATCATTTTGTTTGCCCTAAAAATTATAATCCTAATTCATTGTGAATCTACCTTTTAAACTTAAATTATAATTTTTTACGTACCTTTTAAACAATGCGTATGTGCAGGAAGAAGGATGATATTGGATAAACCATTTGCAGAGATAGTCAATATAAACTCTTGTTAGACAATTATTTTAAACTACAACCATAATAGTTTTTTTGTCGTTTCTATGACCACTTGTAAAAATAATTTACAACAAACATATTTGGAAAGTCCTCAAGAAGAGAGCAATATATTTTTAAAAATATTTTTAATTATAATCTTGAATATAATTTTCTTTTGTTGTTGAAGGAATATACCCAACCTTTTCTTTTATTTAATTTTTATAAAATTAGGATTTTTGTTGGCTCGTTGTTAAAACATTGGTCAGTAGAAACCCTTTCAAAATATTTTTTAAGTTTAACATAAATAATATGTGTCTCTTAATTTCGTAGCAACTTGCTGCGTAATTGTAACCGCATGCCATTAATTGCTGTCAGTGTTGTACGTGTCACTTGAATGTATTAACTACAGATCAAAAACATGGTTTATTTAACAAAAATTCATCAAATAACAATTTTAGAAATGATTGGTTACAGAAATAAAACACGAACACGGATCGAAATTGTTCGCCTATTGCCTAAGTCAAGAAAAATTTCCCGATCTAACACCTATATCAAGGAACAATTTTATTAGTAAAATTGAAAAACAATTTCGAGAGTTTGGAGGCGTAAGGCAGATAAAAAAACCTTCGAATTTACTGAGTAATGATACCAGATTGGACGTCGTAATGCTTGAATTTGAGAGAACTGACAATCAGCTGCTATATTAAATGGTGTTAGCCATATAGATCGATCACTCGAATATTAAAAGAAAATAAAATGCATCCTTACAAATTGAAACCAACTCAGTAGCTCATGGAAGATGATTTTGATAAAAGAATGCATTTTTGTCAGCAAATGACGGAAATGTTAGATAACAACGTTATCCAACTAGAACTCTGAATAGGTTAACGTTTTTGGACAGGGATAGTTGGAAACCATGCCATTTATCCCTTTTTATTGGTGGCAATTTGAATGGAGATAATTATTTAACGCTGCTTCAAAACAATGTCGTTCCAACTTTAGCAAATTTATATCCTATCAAATACACCCACAAGTTCCAGCGAATGTTATAGGGTTCCGGCAGGATGGAGCACCACCACATTACCAAAACAATGTCCGAGGATCGATAGAATGGCTAGCACGATCACCTGGTACTTGGAACTAGAAACTCTCAAGAACAGGCCCATACAAAGTAGTTAAAGAGTCACAACTGAACAACATGGCCGTTTTGTGTGCCAATTTACTTGACGAAATCCCAGTGTTTCTCATCTAGAGCTACAGTGGACAACTTCTGGATGCTACAGGTGTAAACGTTTCAATTGAAACTCTAAGAAAAAAAAAATCGCGCACGAGGTTTGTACAGTAGGAAAGAGTTACAGATCCCACCGTTATCTAGGCAAATTAAAATTGACCGGCTAAATTGGTGCCTCCAACACCAAAACTGGACAATTGAGAATTGGCAAAATGTTCTTTTTTTGGATGAGACCGCAGAATTGGCCTAAGATCAGATGACCATCGAATTCGGGTTTTCAGAGTTCCAGGAAGATGAGCAAAACTCCACGCTGCCAGATATGTCCAAAGATATCAAAGATGAACTGTAATGTTTCGGGCAGGTATTATGCTGGAAGCAAAAACTTCATTGTTACCACTTTAACCGGTCCGAGATTTGTTGATTTAGTGTTAGAACCAATCGTAAGGCTTTGGAGAGCTGCAATTGCGGATAATTTTGTCTTTATGCACGATAATGCGCCTCCCCATACCAGCAGAGTGGCTACAGAATATTTTGAAACAGAAGGTGTCACAGTTTTAGACTGGCCTGCATGTTCACCAGACCTAAATCCTATCGAACACTTGTGGGACCAGCTCAAAAGAAGGATTAGAGCTCGCCGAAACAATGCAGGAAATGTCGGACAGATTATTGATGCATTATTAGCAGAATGGGAAAACATACCCCAAGACAATGTTGACAATTTAATAAGAAGCATGCCAAGGCTAATAAAAGCTTGCATAAGGGTTAGAGGTGATAACACGGATTGTTAAAATTACCGATTTTCTTTCTGTTTTTGCTTTTCGGCTATTAAAAATTTAAATCTCATTTCGTTTCAGAAACAAAAAAAAATACCATTGTTTATTTTATCAACTAGGTAATTAATTATTTTTCTTGCTATGTGGGTTATTTGTCTTTAAAAGTCTTTGGTAAGGACCGATTTTTATTCATAAACAAAAAATGATCATACATCTAAAAAATTATGAAAAATAATAGATGATTCCATATAAGTTTGGTTGTGTGTAGTTTGTTCGGTTAAATATTTCTAATAAGGGTGCCACTGAGCAACATCAAAATTGTTGGCATTTTTGTCATTTATTAGAAATAAATAAAAATACTCATATGGTAAATTCAAGCTTTAAACATTTTCAATAACTAGTGAAATAGTACGAGTCCACACACTTTAATTTTGATATTTTTGTAATGAATGTCCATGTCCAGTTTATAAAAAAATAAAAATAATCTTTCGCCAAGAAGTACCCCGTTCTACGCCACTGAAAATTGCCGGTGGAACCAACCGGTCTTCTATAAGTACTACTCTTTCACGTTTCACGGTATTTGATTTGAATACAGCTTCCAAAACATAGGTGTATATAAATTTATAAAAACCAGTCGCTACTTTTATTAGACGGTCAACCAATGTTAAAAGGACAGTGTTCAAAAATTCCATAAAAAATCACTGGTGAGTAATAATTTTGCAAAATTTTTGTATTAACGTCAAAATCTGACGTATGTTTCGTATGAATGTTGCACGGTTTGTCTAAATTATAGGCAATACTTTCATGATCTAGTAGGTATAATGGTTTAATATTAAATAATCATAACAAGGACATAATATAAAAATAAAAATGCTTTAAATATGTATATAATTTTTGTTTACATTACTCATTACTCTATACACATTTGATATATTTTTTTTACCATGGGTCAAGTAGATTTATTTTTTTGAAAGTAATGACCTCTTTATGACTCTTCAGCGTCGTTACAAATTCTTTTCACTGGGTTTACATTTTTTCATGTATATTATGTTAATTTTAGTCATAAATATTTTTTTTTTCCTTTTTATTTGGCAATTAACGCGTCTCAACAGCTAAGGTTATTGACACGAAGACAAAATTTAATATTTAAATAGAAATAGTAGTCTTTAAAGGCGGCATCCTAGTGTACTGTCCTTAGATCTAAGACGTGTTTAGTATACCTACCTAATAGATATACAGGGTGTTCTAAAATTAGAGATAAATATTTTGACAGCGTGTTACACAGAGAGTTCCTGTAAACATATATCCAAAAATGTCTTATAAGGGAGCAACGCCCCTTGAAGAGAAAATGGACTTAAAGATAGTTTTTGTCGATATTTTTGAAATCGGCACTGATAGGGTACTTTAAATTTTGGATTTCTCTTAAAATTAATATTCCAAATGTGACGACTAACAGAGCTGGGTATTCATAGTGAAAAAGTAATTAATAATTACAATTACTTTTTTCACGTAATTTGTAATTGTATTTAAGTACTTTTTTCTCTCAAAGTAATTTGGAATTGTAATTGCAGCAAAATCTGTGGAGGAATTGTACTTTGTAATTATATTAATTTATATTATTTAAATTGTCTAAATACAATTACTTGTCATAAGTACAATTACTTTTTCAATTACAATTACATTTATAAGTACAATTACATTTTTAAATTACAATTACTTTGAAATGCGTGTTTATGAGATTCACGTGATATAAAAACAAGAAGTTTCCTATTTGAACCGGTCACTAGAGCTCGGACTCGCATCCATATCATTTGTTTGAATGTATTTAAGGAAAGCGTTGTGCCGTGAAGCAGTGAAATTGTTCATTCCAAAATAATAACAGTAAGGGGTAATTAGATGCAGATATCCTTATTTTTAAGATGTATTTGGCATTTATATTATTATAAACATAATTTATGTTGCATAAACATTATAAACTAAGGAAATATAGTATGAAGTGGTGCAAATAGCTGTGGTAAATACTAAAAACTACTTATTTACGTTATGTAGGTATTTCTAGTTATCATTCTAGTTTTCTGCATTGAAATGAAAGATTAACTATTTTAATAAACGTTATTTTAGCGTTACAAGTATTTGATTTTTACATAGAAAATGCAATATGTTAATTAAATTAATAGCACTTGTAACGGAATATAAATATATTTTATGTTATAAGAAATTATTTGATGATGTAGATCTATAACCAAATTTAAGTAAAATGTGTCTCATTTTTGTTTGTATGAACGAGGTACAGAACGATACATTTTAGATTATTCAATATAATTTTAATATTATGTACAGGGTGATTAATTAAGGGTGGCGACCGGCCGTATCTCAGAATATCTTGAAGTAGAATTTTTTTTTTGAAAGGAACGCAAAAACAGGTCGATTTTTATTTCAAGGAGGACACCTTCCTATAATATCCTCAACTGTCCCCTACGTCAATCTAACCAATACCAAGTATGACACATCGTCGGAAAGGTAATTTTATGGGGAATTTAGCAATATGACTTCATTGCGTTCCTTTTAATTTTGGTGCTCTCTCGCAGGATAAAAAATTATTGCCTACGGTAAAGTGAGACACTTAATTATTTGAAAGCTAATTTTATTAGTACTACAACCAAATATAATAGACTTTTTTGATTTCAATGAAGGCGTAACACCTTCGGTTGTACAAAAAAATGGGGTACAGTTAGAAGTGTTACAATATCTCGATGATTTAAGAAAAAATAGTACGATGCTAGATAGCTACTCCTTGATGAAAAAAGTGTTTTTTAAATACAATACAGACGTCTGTTTTTGGACTTAATTTTAAGTTTAGTAGTATTTTGACGTCCAGTGGACGTCCATCTTAGGTCATTATTTATTTAGCCTACCAGATACAATACCCATCTATATACACTTTCTTTTTTTTAATTTAATTGGCCATTAAAAATTGACAAATTGAATACATTGCATTTCATTCTATTAGCAGAAGTTTCAAATCTTATTCTATTACAACCATACCTAGTAAAAAGTTTTCAAGTAGCTCCTTGGTCGAGATCGTTTAGTGGTTGAAAGTGTAGAACGATAATGGACGTGTCGTGAGTTCGATCCTTGATCAGGTCAAGGGATTTCTAATAAAACAAGAAATGGTGTATAGCGGGTTGCAAAAGTAATAAATAAATAATTAATATTAGTGTGTGGTGAGTTGCGATTGTGTTAAAAAAAAGTTTGGATGGGGATGTGGTCCCCATGGAATATAATCCAGGAATGGACGTTTTTTAAATGTCTGGTATTCAACGTCCAAATATAATCCAGAATTGGATGTCCACTAAATGGTCAAAAATGTGCCATTTGTATACTTTACTGGACGTCCATTGGAAGTCAAATGGATCTTTTTGTGTCGTCTGGGTAGCCTGAAAAAATGTGCCATAAACCCGATTCGGATATCTCTCATAGCACCAAAGATACAGCATTTGCCACACTACCTTTCTCGGAAACGACAAGAGCAAAAACATTAAAAATTTGGTAAGAGCAAAAACTTTTCCGAAAACTATCAATCTAATCGAAGTAAACCAAGAGTAGGTACCTTTTTCGCATAAAAAGATTGAATTTTGTTTAAAAAATAATCAAATTTAGAAGATAAACATTTTTTATTACTATTTAAAACCACTCTCCCCTATTTGTGGAGTGCCAGTAAAAACGATAAAGTTTTTCCACATTCAGAATATCAATTTTAAGATAAATCAAAAGTTTGAAGTATTTATCGGTACAGGTTTCGGAAATATAGTAAAAAAAAACATCAAAAAGGCGTTGTCCCCTTATAAAACATTTTTGGATAATATATTTATAGAAACTTTTTTCACATGGATAATACGATGTTAAAATATTTACCTCAAATTTTGTGTGTAAGTGTGAATGAATAATATTTTTTAATACATTGTAAATTCCTTTCTATATAAAAACATAGGCTCTGCAAAAACACTTTGTTTTATGATTACAGTTTTTTTTACGTTTATTAATACATTTATGTGACTATTATAACCTATAAAATAGATGACTAATAAAGAAACTTAAAATAAATTTATTGTAATTTAACAAATTAAATACCAGTTTCAGTAATATTTTTAAGAAGAATTCCGTAAGTGCCTATTGTTTTAATGAAATTAAAATTATATTGTTTTTTCTTGAGATAAAACTTAGACGAAGGCGAGTTTCATATAAATTGTGCCGGTGTGTTAGTAACCATTACATGCGAGTTGCATGCACTATTTTTTCTACGACCGCGAAGCAGTAGATATTTCAATTTAACAATCTAGTTATTTCTATAAAACAGTTTTAACACCTGAAAGTCCTAAGTAATTTAATTTTTTTTTATCTCTATCGTGCAAAAATGTTTCTGAATTTTTACGCTGAAGCCTTTGGACTTTCTTTAAAAAAAAAATACAATTTTGGGTATTTACTCGCATCTGTTTTGTATTTAATATTGAGTTGTGTTTTTAAAAAAATTTAATGAATTTGAAGAACTGTCTCAAAATAAAGTAATAGCACATTTTCAGAAATTGATGCTACTCTCTGATACTTTGGAGTGAACTGTATTTATCAAAAACGAGTTAAATCGGTTTTCTGCATCATTTATAATATCTTATATATTGTTTTTTTTTTAGAGTAATCATGGCGACTCTGTTCGCCATTTTGATTTATTTCTTGGTCACCGCTCAAGCGAAGGATCCAAATATAGAAGAAGAGGAATTGCAGGCCTATAACTATATGCTATCAATTAACGATAAGATGGAAAAATATTTGAACAAAAAAGTGTTGTCTGATTGGGCGTACGCATCGAATTTAACGCAAGAAAATTTAAACAAAAACGTAAGTTTTTAAATAGTCAAATTATGCTTCGGAAAAATGCCATTATTATTTCTGCACTGCTTGTATGTTTATAGGAACTTTCTGCTTTATTTTCACCTGTATAAATATTTATCTTTAATTTTGAAACACCCTGTATGATCATTTTGAATACCTTCAGTTTGTAGTATATTACGTAACAAGAGTTGTAAGTAACCCATTACGCACGAAGTGAAAAAGTTTACGAACGAAGCTGCGCAGCGGCGACTGTGTAAATTTCACGAGTGTGTAATGAACTTACAACTCGTGTAACGTATTATACTTTTTCTACGCCCACTTAAAACATTCTCCGAAAAGGATTTAACGTTATGCTTGTGTCGCCAATCCATAAATTTTCGATAGGTAATTTCGTACTTTTCTTTGGATTTTAGCGGTAACAAATTAAGTGTGGCATGTTGAGCTTTATCTAAAATCTCCGGTGGAGTGCTCACAATTTCATCACTTTCACTACTAACAGACATATTCGTAGGTAAAGTTGAGAAAATGTTCGAATACAATAATATTTTGTTATAAAAATTGACAATATAAACGAAACGACGTTCATTTCCATAGCATGGCTAAGAAAACGCGACTTAGTTTTTTAAAATTGTATAATGTGTTGCCGACATTTAGGGGCATCACTTTTTTAATTGACTAAATTTATGTAAATAATCCAAATTAAGTCTTGCGTAGATAAAAATTTGATTGCAATTTGTTTAAACTAAGAAATTTAAGTTTTCTTATCAAAACGCACGTGTATGTTATGGGATCTCATTAAATGCATGTTATTGTTAATTAGTATATTACGTAACAAAAGTTGTAAGTAATGGGCTTACAACTAGTGTAATGTACTATACTTTTTCTATGCCAACTTAAAACATTTTTCAAACATTAGTTTTTTAGTTTTCGTGAAGACAGACATGAATCATTTTATTTTCACACGAGCAATGTTGTCTGACACAAATAAAAAATCTGATATGCCCAACACATGACTTTCCTGTTTAGTTATTACAGACTCTTCCCGGTCATTTTGTACTACCTATGGTATCATCCCTGTAAATGTTTAGAAGATGAATTAAATACATACATTTTCCACACACATCTTACTGGAAATATTTCTTTATATATATTTATTGCTAACGAAAAGACTGAAATAGTAGTTTGTGCAACAAGAGTGGATATGATGACCATAAGACGAAATTGTCTGGGTGCCACATGGACAATGCACTCGAGTTGTACAGTATATCTTTTCTACGACCCTCTAACGAAATATACAGATTAAAAAAATATTTTAGGTTATTAAGATAAAATAACTAATTTTAAAATAATTTATAAATTTTACTGATATTTAAAATAAAAAAAATATGAAAGAAAGAAAAATTAATCGCCAGCCAAGAACAGAGAAGACAATGGGTCCTATGATTGAACGTTTACGTTATCCGTAACGTACATGTTAGGCCGAATTTTAAAAGTAACGAGGCAAGTTCGTATGATGGAAACCTGTTAAATTAGAACATAACAGGCGGAAATTAACAGTAATGTGTTATGAAAGACTTTACATCATACGAATTTGTCTCTTTGCTGTTAAAACTCGGCCTAACATGTACGTTACGGATAACGTAAACGTTCAATCATAGGACCCATTATGTCTTATCTCTGGCCAAGAATCGATCCCCGGCTTTTCGTGTCGAAGTCAAGCACACTGCCACGTGCCGACGTCCACTTGTACGATTTTGGTTTTAATACTCGTTATTAAAATAGTTACATATAGTTTGATTAAAATTTAATTTTTTTTTTTAAATATGGTCCAACTAAAAATGCTTTTATTTACGATTATTTATCTATTCTACACAAAAATAACTAATTTTAATATATATTTAATCTCAATAACTAAAAAATATACTGACAATTAATTTGACAGGGTTGTCACTTACCCATTATATGAACTGTGATTGGCGGATTTCATTTTTTGCAGTATTCTCACTACTTAGAATAGATATGAAATATATTCGTTCGGTTAAACGCAATGACATACTTTTTCGTTTTGTAGTCTGTGCGTAGATAATCTAATATTCATGTGGGTGTAGAAAAATTTTACACTTTTCCTCAAAATAAAAATTATAGAGAATAATAGCGCAAACAACTTTTATTTGAACAATTTTCTTAAATATTTTTTTATCAAATTTCTTGAATAGGGGTCATATTAGGAAAATTTTGTATAGGACAAAAATTATAGAAAATAACATTACAAGCAACTTTTATTTGGAGAATGTTCTTCTTTAAAAGTAAGTAACACATATATTCGATAAAGTAGAAAAACGACCTTCTATATAAAGTACCCCCAGGATGGATTGAAGCTTAAATTTAAAATTTGGTGATTTTCCCTTTGTCCGTTTTTGAGTTTTTAAAATTCAAAATTTACACTTTTTCTCAAATATCTCGAATACGGTCCATTTAAGAGAAATAGTGTATATGACAAGAATTATAGAGAATACTTTTTATATTTTATGAAATATACACACATCAAAAAAATCTAGGGAACAAGGATTAAAATTGTTATAACTCTTTTGAGACACCAGGTATTATATTGAATATTTCTGTAGATATTTTTGATACCTTTTTGTTTACAATGTACATGATTTTAAAGGTTTAGCAATTGATAAAATGTGCGTAAAAAATATTTGTCTTTTATCGATAAACATAGTGTATTAGTTTCTCTTGGTTTTTGCTTCTACGAAGGACATAACGAGATTTTTGGTATTCGAATTAGTGTTCAGTTAAGTTGTTTTTGATGGAAAGACGACATTTAAATCGCGACGAACAATTGCGAGCAGTAGGGATGGTTGAAGGGGACAGGGAACCAAAATAATATAGCAGTAACGGAGGTCCTTAACACATCAGCTAGTGTAATTTGTCGATTGATGACAAGATACCGTGAGACCGGGGATGTTAGAGAACGACATACTGGTCGTACGAGAGCAACTGATCCTCTACATGATCGTTTTATTCGATTACTGGCACTACGAGATCGAACTGTCACAGCAGGTCAGTTTGTCAGTTAGCAAATCAGTTATACCGCACACACCGTATTGCTGTGAGCAGCCAGACTGTAAGAAACAGGTTGCACCAGTTCAACCTTTATGCTCACAGACCGCTCCGTGTTCCCCTGTTAACAATGTTAATCTATGTGAAAAAATATTTTTATACAGACATTAAAAAATTGTTATATTAATATACTTATTTAATTGTACTTATATTTGTTGTTCCTTTAATACAATAAATACAATTTACCTATCTCCAATTCATCACTTTCCGTTTCCATATACCTAGGGTCCGATTACAATTAGAAGAACACCGCTACGTCATAACTATTATTTCGAATTACCAATATACAGGGTGTCCCGAAATTAGACGGTCATATTTTAACAGCGTAATCTACATCCTACAAGTGTTAGAAATTAAAAATTTAAAAAAACCGAATTCAAAACCGTGCAGGTGCCGTCTCCACATCTTAACCAAATTTATATGGGACCACCCCTGAAGTACCCTCTTATTAACAAAAAAACAGTCATATAAATCGGACAAGGTGGTAAAGCATTATCGCTAAACATACAGGATTTTCAGGATTTTCTCATGGGCCCAATTATAGATTTTGGCCAAATTTATATGGGACCACCCCAGAAGTACCCCTTTCTAACAAAAAAAGAATCATTAAAATCGGAACACTTTTACTACTATTTTAGGATGAAGATTACGCTGTTAAAATATGACCGTCTAATTTCGGGACACCCTGTATATCATCTATAACTATCAATAAATAAAAAATATTTGAGTTGTTTGGTTTAAAAATAGTATTCCTACATTCCTATAATGTTAACAAGCCACTAAACCTCCAGTACGCGGAGATAGCCAACGAATTACTTCGCCTATTGATTATATACCTGTGTTCATGTAATTGTAATCGGACCTTACCCAATCCTATGATTATTCTTCAGCTCACGACAAACGACATTGCCAAATTTATGTAGCGAACAAGGTTCCAAATACTTTAAGGGCAGGTCGTTAGATCTGTGCGGTGTGACGTCAGAAGGGACTGGATTGCTCTGGAAAATAAAAATAAATTATTTCTCTGTAAAACAAGATTTCTTATTGAATATTTTGAACTTTTGGTTCAATGTTGATCTTTGTTTAATGAAATGGCTATTCACAGTTGCAAAACCTAAATCAGAATCTAAGAATTACATTTTTTTAGGAGTGACACTCGAAAATCTGATCCAAGTGGACGATTTTAATGAATTTTATTAAAGTGGCAATATCTCGAAAACCATCGATTTTTTACTAAGTTCATATTATGTTTTTCTGGGAGCTTATGAGTTGGACCCCTTTCAATATTATCGTTGACTTTCCGGACACCCTGTATAATCCTCCTTGTTATTTATTGGTTAAGTTTAATTCGTTTAATGTTAAATTGCAACATTTTGTCACAAGCATAAGGTTTGTTTTTATTTTTTGTAAATAATATAACTTTTTTTATTTAAAATTTAATCTAGAAGTGCGTATTTACCATTGTATATGCCGTGACCTTATTTATATTATAGAAACTTATTTTTCCAAGTACGCCTATGGAATGTGACGTTATATCCCCACTTTTACTGAACTCATCCATATTCAGACTATAGGATATACGTTCATATGAAGTTTTCTTCTAAAAATGGACCCAAAATTCATCCCCTTAAATATTTACATTTAATTAAAAAACTTCCTGTATATCAATGTTTTTAAAATGCAATGAATTTCTTACAGATCTAATTTTATGCATTGAATTTTATTTCTTATTGTTTGTTATTTCGTATTAACTTTAGTTTTTTTTTTTTTTTTTTTTTTTTCAGATAAAAATATCGGCGGAAGTTGCTAATATCCAAAAAGAAATTTGGCACCAGATCGCTCAATACAATTGGCAACAGTTTTCTGACTACAGTTTGAGAAGACAATTTTGGGCCTATTCAACTATTGGAGAAAATGCTTTACCGGAACCGCAATTTAAAATGTTAAAAAAACTCGTCAGCGATATGGAATCTATATATTCGACAGCTAAAATTTGCGATTATAAAAATTCTACAAAGTGTGACCTTCTTTTAGAACCAGGTTAAAAGTTTTTTAATTATGATTTAGACAAGTTTTTTGAAAAATCCTAAATCCCTATAAAGACAAGCTGTATACTTCATAATAATTCCAAATATGGAACTAAGAAATGTCTATTATTTATATTAAGAAAAAGTTTTTATTGTATCTTATTATTTCAGATCTGACAAACATATTAGCGACATCTAACGACGAAAAAGAACTACGCCACGTTTGGATAGAGTGGAGAAACAGTATAGGTCCAAAATGCAAAGATTCTTACAAATCATACGTCGCATTGTCAAACGAAGGTGCGAAATTGAACAATTTCTCCGACCAAGGCGAGGTCTGGTTAAAAGACTACGAAGATGACACTATTAAAGAACAAGTTCATGGTTTGTTTGAACAACTTAAGCCGTTGTATCTTCAGATTCATGCGTATGTGAGGTTTAAGTTGAGGGAGAAATTCGGTGAAGTTGTTTCGGAAAAAGGACCAATTCCTGCACACTTGTTAGGTAAAATTGTAAGATTGATAATGTCGTGCGAGCCATTTTTAAGCAGTGCGGTTCTGATATTTGTTTACGTTATCGCCGTTCAGCTGCCCGCCTGTGTTCCGCTGGTCGATCGAGACTCAAGAAATTACTTCTTTTGTATAGTAAAACCAAAGATCTAGTGACTCTCATAAATCATATTAACCGACGACCCTCATTATCACTATTGTTCGATTTGTAGATAAGCGATAAAATTGTCTGTTGGTTAAAAGATTCCCAGGTCCGGATTAAAATATATATTCTCATGAAATAGTAAAGAATATGTTTATTTAATAATATTATAATTGGGGGCTCTCTATTTCAATTGTTAACAGTTTTGAATGTAAAACTATTTTTATAATAAAAAATTTCCTAGAATTTAAAGTACTTATAAATAAAATTTACTTGCCTGACCATCTGAGTTACCACGTTACTTTTTATACACACTGTATAATTAAATAAACAATTCCGAATTATAGCGATTTTTCTTCATATTTATTTTACCCCAATTATTGACCTATAGAAGAAAGCTTAATGGCTAGAGTGAGTATGTCTCTGCGTAGAGACGGCCGCCTGCTGATAAGTAAATTACCTGCCGTTTTATGATAGTTACTAGCACTAGATCTCTGGTTTAACCATACGCTGGCCGAGTCGTAGAGGAAGGGTTGCGAGAACGCATAGAGCATCGAGATTCTTCGAGACAGGACTGGATTGTCTAGGTCGTAATTTTTTTTATATATAAATGGATTCTTTTGCCGTTACTTAGTTAGTTTAGAGATAAATATTGTCGAGTAGAGATAAATTATAGTTTTGATTACAAATAAATTAGTTATAAAATAATTTGGTGTATTTAGTAAATATAAATTAGAATAATTAAACTGTTTAAAATAAATAAACGTAACATCAGTGATAGAAGCAGGATAATTAAAATAAATCGCGTGCAAAAATGGCTCGCACTACAGTAAGATTGTGGGTGTAATAAATAGACGAAACAAATAATATTTTAGGGTGATTCTTCAGGTTATTGTGGTAAATTGACGTGATAAATACACTGCACCGCAAAATTAACCGGACACTAAGTGTATTTTAAATAAAATTAAAAACTATTAGAAAAACTTAAATTCCAATAATTTTTGTTTATTCAATACCAAACCCTAAAATAAAAACAAGTTCCAAAATATTGATTAATTTAACAACAAATAAAAATTTATAAAATTTTTGTATTCCGGAGTACAAAATTAACGGGTATTTTTCGGATTGAAATCATAAAATAATTCTTAAATTTGGATATCAAAATCGAGTATTCCCTCCTCGAGCTCGATTAACAGCTCTCATCCTTTCTGGCATAGACTGACCAAAGCAACAATCTCGTTTTGCAGTATTTGTTTCCACTCATTTACCACCGCCTGTTCTAACACTACCACAGTTTCAAACTCGCCATAACTTTGTCTAAGTCTTCTTCCCAAGTTGTTCCACAAATGCTCTATGGGGTTAAGGTCTGGGCTTCTAGGATGCCAGGTTAGTATCTGAATACCAACATCTGTAAAGTATTGTATAGTTACCCTGGCTATGTGCGGCCGAGCATTATCTTGCATTAGAAGAACATTTTCACCTACAAAATGCATATAAGGTACCACATGTTTTTCCAGACATTCCGTAATGTACCTATCAGCATTAAGGCCAGCTCCCCCTAACATAACATGTGCTTCCAAAGAAATGCCGCCCATACCATTGCACCTCCACCACCAAACTGTACTCTATGAGAGAAACAACATTGGGCATAGCGTTCTCCAGGCCTCCTCCATACTCTTTAAGGACCATCAGGTGAGTATTTCGTAAAACGAGACTCATCTGTAAAAAGAACGTTTCGCCAATCTTCCATATCCCAATCTGCTTGAGCACGAGAGAATTTTAAGCGTTGTCTTCGATGAGCTGCATCCAGTAAAGGGCTTGTGACAGGTACATAAGACGATAAATTTTGTTCGCTTAATCTTCTGAGTACAGTATCAGGTGAAACTACGGTTTCATGAACATCTGCCAGTCTCCTGGTTAAAGCTGTAGCAGTAACTGTCCGCTCTCGAAGCACTTGAAGTCTCAGAAATTGGTCTTCAACGGCGTTTGTTACCCTTGGTCTTCTCTGTCCAGGTCTTCTAGAGTAAGAACCAGTTTCTCTAAATCTTATGTAAGGCAACAGCTTGCGCTACTTCATCTGGCCTCATTTTAAATTATTTATTAATCACTTTTCTTACCCGAAAAAGCTGCCAACCACACACCAAAAAGGCATACAATCAATTTAACAAGCATTATTTTGTAAGTAAATATTTGATTATCAAAAACACCCTAACAAAAACTTTCTGTTCAGCCACAAAAAATGACAAACTTTTAAAAAACGAATGGATAAAGGCAACTTATATTTTAATAAATATATTTAATTATTATACAGGGCAATTCAACAAAACTAAAAGTAGAAAACTTCACGTGTCTGGTTAATTTTGCGGTGCAGTGTATATTTTATTTCATACATTTGTAGCAATAAATTGAAGTCGTTGCCAAACTATTTTCAATTGAGCTTTTGTTAATAAAAATGATTGAGGAACTCCCTGTATGTACGAAATGTATTTCTCGTCTTCTTGGACACATTATAAAATCATTTTGTCTAATATTCTATATAAATTTTACGGTGTCTTTGTTTAAGGAAACATGTGGGGACAAACATGGGATAACATCGCTGAAAAGACTTTACCTTATCCTGATGTCGAAGATTCCGATTATACAGCAGAAATGATAAAACAGGTAATACACAAAAAACAAATCCAGTATGCAATCACTTAAAGTTATGTTTATAAATATTATTCGTTTTTTGTTTGTTTAGAATTACACTGCCATTAAAATATTTCAAACAGCAGAAAACTTCTTCAAATCGATTAATTTAACCGAAATGCCGCGAACGTTTTGGAAAAATTCAATTTTAGAGAAACCTGCCGATAGAAATTTAATTTGTCACGCATCTGCTTGGGATTTCTACGACCAAAAAGATTTCAGGTTAGCATAGAAAACGTAACGATATTACGTAATTAATAAGTCACGTTTTTTAATAATTTACCATTATTTTTTTTTATTTACGTTTAAATGTTAATTATAACTATTAATATAACTTTTTCTGAATTTCTAAATTTTATTTTTATATTACAATAAGCAGGGCCGTCGTTATACTTTTGGCCGCCCGGTGCAAGTTTTTAAATTGTCGCCCTTATGTTTGTAGGTATTAAAAAAAATTGGCTAACTTTAAAAAATGTTTATTAAAAAATATAACATGGTTAAATGTTAAATACATATGTTACATAGTAACACATACATTATACATAGGCACATAAAAATGAAACTCAAAAAATCTGACTCAGACCAAATACATAGGTTAAAAACTAAATATATCTTCGGGCTTTTTTTTTTTTCAAAAACAGATGTATGATTGTATCATAATTTAAATTAGCGGCAATTTCATGTTCGATTGAGATTAATGCCAAACCAGTTAAACGTTCCTGTGACCAGTGTTGCTGAATCGAAAATCTAAAATTTCCCATCGCTCAATCTCTAAATTCCCACTTTATCTACCCACGGTTTTAAAAATTATCCACTTTTTTCAACCACACTAAAATACATGTTTTCTCGATAAAAAAGTCACTTATTAATAAAATATTAAGAATTTGCAAAATACTTCTAAATTACAAGAATTAAAAAAAGTATAAATCATTGTACTTGTTCAATAAATAATCCAAAAACTAATTGTTAAAGCATGTGCATTGGATTTTTAATATTTTACAATTTTGATGCTTAATTATGGTTGTCCAAATAATTTAGGTAACATACTGTATTGTCACCACTGAACTGTAGTGATTGTCACAGATAGGTAGTAGGTATTCTGTGGTATTTTTATGACAAAATCAGTAAGAAATAAAAGTATACCTCTGAAAAAAACAGTTATTGCAAATACACTTTAAACAATGTCTAAACATATATGTTACTTTAAAATGTAGCAAGATAAAATAAAAAATAATTTCAAAACATAAAACATTATAATGATGTATGTGAGGTTTGATTTTCTTACATATCATTAACCTAATAAAGTAATAAATAAATATTATCTATTTATTAAAAAGAAGAAACCCAAGATTAATTCGCAAAAACAGTCATTATAGGAGCAAATTCCCCAAAAATATTGCATCCACCCAAAATTCCCACCAGGGTCAAAATTTCTACCCAAGAGGGAAATTTCCACCCACACAGCAACACTGCCTGTGACATAGATGAACTTAAATAATTTTAAATTATTTTTAATTTCGAGAACCTTCGTTCCCAGAACATGAAGGCATATTTATACTAAAATTACCACGAAAAACATCTTCTATAATATTTGTAGAAGCATTAATTTTTGTAGTAGTTGTACAATCAATGGTGTCCTTTAAATTTTTAACAGGCTTTAATCATTTGTCAAAACTTCCAGTCAGAGTTTTTATTTCCTCTTCCCTCTTTGCTATTTTCTCTTTATATTCAGCTCCTGATAGACGTTTGTTTTTACGCGGGTTAATATCCATTTTATTTATTTACCAACACCAAATACCAATCTACTACCAGACTACCAATTGCTACCACAGAACCAGATTCCAGACCTGCAGATCCCCTAAAAATAAAAATCCAGCTACTATTATATTTATCTTGATATATTGGGGATTTTTTATTCCTAGGAATTTAAATTATTTGGAGCGACCCGACCCATAGGTTCAATAAGGTATACCTAACTTTGTTTGTGTCTGATTTAATTTATAACATCCGTATTCCGTACTCTATTATTAAGTATGCAAAACTGCGCAGGCAAGTGCAATAGGCCAACTCACTAGCATTCAGCGGCTTGCCTGTCTAAGTGCTACTGGGGCCATGAGTACTACGCCGACCGCAGCAATGAAGGTATTATTAAATCTCACGCCACTGCACATCTTCATACAAGGAGAAACCAGGTCAGCTATTCACAGGCTAATGCAGGGACAAAACCCAATAAGCCAACTACATAGCGCCGACCACACAAGGCTATATCAGCAAGTAAAAAGGGATAATATTCTAGCTATGCCTACTGATAGAGCCATAACCACATACAAATTTGAAAGAAATTTTCAAATTCAAATACCAGCCCGAGAATCCTGGAAACAGGGACCTCCCGTACAGGCTGAACTCGTCTGGTACACAGACGGTTCAAAAACCAAGGAAGGAGGCGGTGCTGGAATCTATGGACCTAATTTGAAATCAACAATTTCACTGAGCTTAGGAAAATATGCAACAGTGTTCCAGGCTGAGCTAATAGCCATACAACACTGTGCAAGAGAAATATTAAATCAGCAAGTATCAGGCAAAAATATTGCCATATACTCTGATAGCCAAGCAGCTCTAAAGGCAATTCTCTTACCAGAAATCAAATCACGACTGGTGAAAGACTGTCTAGAAGACCTGACAGAGCTAAGTAGTCAAAATAGGGTGACCTTAGCCTGGGTTCCAGGCCGTGAGGGATATCAGGGCAACGAAAAGGCCGACGAATTAGCCCGAGAAGGCTAAGATAAGGCCATGACAGGCCCTGAACCCTTCTGTAGAGTTGTTAAGGCATTGTGCAATGCATCCATTAAACAATGGATGCATAAAGAGTCTCAGGAATGGTGGAACAACTATCCAAGACTGAGACAGGCCAAACAGTTAATCAAGGAATCATCGGCCTACTGGATCAAAAGCGTCAAATCGTTAGGATAACAGTAGGCCTTCTTACTGGACACTGTCGCCTCAAAAGGCACATGAGTGTCATAAATCCAGCAGAAGAAGCAACTTTGTGCAGGTTCTGTGAAGAAGAAGCGGAAACATCATTCCACGTCCTGTGCCAATGTGAAGGCTTGGCTGGAATGAGGTTTCTAACATTGGGCGAAGAAAAGCCAATTGCATGCAAGTACATGCGGGAGCCACTGTCAAAGCTACTAAGTCTAATAAAAAAGACCAGGCTAGACGACATACTCTAAAACAAATGGAGTCCCACAATATATCTGAAAAGGTCGCGGTGGACAAGGACAAATAACGTCCAACTCCTAATCTAATCTAATTAAGTATGCAAAAATGACTGAATCGGACACAAATTTTAATTTTTCGTCTTCCCTTCTAAGGATGGCACTGCACCAGCATAAGGACATGTCCATATTCGCTCCGTGCGAAGTCATGGAAAGGGAAGCAAAAGCGATACTAGCGCTAGCTGCGGATAATTCGTGCATTTTAGGGCGATATTTTGTAATGTTGGCATATCAAATACACGTATACATTTTACTTTTTTTTCAAAAAAGTAGGTACAGACAATACAATAAGCAACCGGAGTTGCTGTGTCGACAATTGTACAAATACTAGCAAAAAAAAAACAGTGAAACTTATATAGAAAATGTCAGTAGCAAAGTGGAAATTAAATCAAAGAAATAAATGGATAGATATACAATAAGAAGACAAATTACCTTTATTTTTGAAATAATAACAGTAATGCTGTAAATAGTAGACATCAGAAACTTGAAAGGTTTTAAATAAACAATAAATTATCATTTTACGATGTTCTTTAATGTCCTTTTATTCTTAAATGTTCATTCAGCAAGGACTAGATTTCAAGATTTCTGCCTTTGATTATTATATGTGGATGGAATGTAATTTTGTGACTTACTGATGAGAAACCAGTTTTAATCATTCATTCTATGTTTTCTTTCGAACAAAAATGAAAATATAAATAGCGATCCTTTTTTTATACATTTTAACTTCATGCTATTATTAAATGGTATTTTTTTTATTTTGACAACAGGCTAATTCTTCAATGACAACTTATTAGACTGAGGCAACTTCTCATACATTTTCCAGTAAATACTGTTGCCTGCCTATATTTTATTATTGCTATTCATTGATTATACATAATTTTCTTTAATTTAAGCGTTAAAATATATATAATAATAATAAATTAATGTTTTACTTGTTTTACAAATGCATATACTTTTATTAAAACTAACATATACTTTTTAATTACGAATTCTATTAAAAATTGTATTTGTCAGTATACACAGAGATAGTCCATTAATACCAAAACGAATTGGCGCTGCGGTCGCGCACGGAGCGAATAATAAAATTTAATAATTATCACCCTTATATACATACGCATGCAAAATTTCAGCAAACATGCAACACATACAACACATGCAAGTGAAGTTAAATAAAAGTCTGTAATGATATCAGGAAATAAATAAAACAAAACTCACCACTATTAACTTTTTACACTTCACGAATATTATAAGCTTATAACATCAAACGTACCTAGTCAACTAATTGATCGTGATCGGCTTGAATAAAATAATTAGAAAAGATTGACGTCTTTTTGAGTATGATTAGGAACGCCTTTAATTATATTTAGGTACTAACTCTACTGCCATATCATACAATAAAAACATATTATTAATATTTTTCTAAGTAAAATAGCCGCCCCCCAAAAACGGCCGCCCTGTGTGGCTGCACGCTCGCACCGGCTGTAACGACGGCCCTGAAAATAAGTTCAAAAATTAATTTTTAATTACTACAACAATAAATTGTATAAAACTTTTAAATGATAAATTTATTAAAATTTATATTTGATAGATATTAAATTTAATGTTATATGTAATGTAATATTTAATGTTATATTTAATGTTACTTAGCCTAATCGTTTTGTTTATAGAATCAAGCAGTGTACTGAAGTTACCTATGAACAGATGTCAACAGCACATCACGAAATGGGTCACATAGAATATTTTTTGCAATACAAAGACCAGCCTGTACCGTTTAGAACCGGAGCTAACGATGGTATGTAATTAAAAATCAGTTTTTTTTTCAATATCTCGTGCCGAAACACTGAGCAAAACCCTTTTTTCCAATTATATACAGGGTGTCCGTAAATTACGTGTACATGTCTTCGTTTGAATGCTAGACGTCAACAAAGTTAAATAGGAATATCTGTTCTTTCTTTAATCTCCAGAATTTAGCCTTTTTAAAAGATCAAATTTGGTACGAATACTAGGTATTTTATGGCCAATTAAAAGCAACAGAATAATTCCTTTTTTTGCGATCATAAACCTGGTCATGATTATGAACTATACTCTTCGGCACTGTCATATTTAGTTCTACACGTCTAATACTAACTGTCGGACCGTCTTTAATATTTGTTGCTCAACTTCTACAGTTCTAGTCGTACGCATTTGCCCTCTATCCACATTTATTAATTCAAATTTACCATTTTCACTAAGCCGCCTTTCAATATTTGCAAACTGTTCGGTGTTTTTGGAAATTTAAATCGATATCTGACACTTATACTGACAAGTGAACATGCAGGTATTTATCACAATTCACTTTTTATTATTAAAATTATCAAAAAGTTTCGATGCTTTTAACATTTAGATTCTTACTATGATAGCCCAAGTAGAGTTATGTGTATAATTTTTTTCTCACAAATTATATACTTGTATTTTCTAAACTGTTACAATTTTAAAAATACGCTAGAAATATATCATTTGAAATAACTGGAAGTTATTGTACAAAAATGAAATATGTAAAAATATCGAAATTTTCAAAGACGTTTAGCTGATACCCTATAATAGTTTGTGCAACAAAAGTGGATATGGACCATTCATTCGAGTTGTACAGCATATTTTTTCTACAGCCCACTATCAAAAATCTTAAAATATTATTTTAGGTCAATAGGATAAAATAACTAATTTAAAAATAATTTATAACTTTTACTAATTTATAAAATAAAATAAACAAGAAAAAATATTTATTTTGTCCCAATTCTAGATTTGAACCCAGGCCTTTCACATAAAAGGCAAATGCTCTGACCTCACCACACCAAGGCCCTTAAAATTTCTGCTTTAATATTTCGTAATTAAATTGAAATAAAAATGGAAATGCTATTATTTATCGATTCTAAACAAGAATACCTCATTTTAATGCATATTTAATCCCAATAACTGAAAATTATACTGACAATTAGTTTGACAGAATTGTCACTTATTTAAAACTTTAAAAATAATAGTAATTGGCTGACGAAATTATGAACTGTGATTGGTGGATTTAATTTTTTTGCAGTGTTCTCACTACCAAGAATATTTTATGAAACATATTCGTTCAATTAAACACAATAGCATACGTTTTATTTTTCTAGTCTGTATGTGGATAAGATAATATATATGTGGGTATAGAAAAAATAATTTTAAATAATAAGCTTTTAAATTAATAATTTTTTTATAGGATTCCATGAAGCTGTAGGTGACTGTATATCTCTGTCCTTCGGAACTACTACACATTTACGAAAAATCGGCTTAATAACATCAGACAATCCAGATCCGAAAATCGTTTTAAACAACTTATACAGGGTAAGAAAACTGAAAATATTTATATCTCTTTTATTTAATATTTTTCTTTAGGTTGGATTAGGTAAAATAGCTTTCTTGCCATTCGGATATTTAATGGACTTATGGAGATGGGACGTATTTTCTGGTAAAACGACTCCAGACAATTACAACTGCAAATGGTGGGAGTTGAGAGAAAAGTACCAAGGTTTAGAACCTCCCGTTGATCGATCTGAAGAAGATTTCGACCCAGCAGCCAAATATCATATCATTGCCGATGTACCATACCTCAGGTAGGATTTATTTGGATTTACTTCGATTTACTTTCATTTACTTCGATGTACTTCGATTTACTTCGATTTACTTCGATTTACTTCGATTTACTTCGATTTACTTCGATTTACTTCGATTTACTTCGATTTACTTCGATTTACTTCGATTTACTTCGATTTACTTCGATTTACTTCGATTTACTTCGATTTACTTCGATTTACTTCGATTTACTTCGATTTACTTCGATTTACTTCGATTTACTTCGATTTACTTCGATTTACTTCGATTTACTTCGATTTACTTCGATTTACTTCGATTTACTTCGATTTACTTCGATTTACTTCGATTTACTTCGATTTACTTCGATTTACTTCGATTTACTTCGATTTACTTCGATTTACTTCGATTTACTTCGATTTACTTCGATTTACTTCGATTTACTTCGATTTACTTCGATTTACTTCGATTTACTTCGATTTACTTCGATTTACTTCGATTTACTTCGATTTACTTCGATTTACTTCGATTTACTTCGATTTACTTCGATTTACTTCGATTTACTTCGATTTACTTCGATTTACTTCGATTTACTTCGATTTACTTCGATTTACTTCGATTTACTTCGATTTACTTCGATTTACTTCGATTTACTTCGATTTACTTCGATTTACTTCGATTTACTTCGATTTACTTCGATTTACTTCGATTTACTTCGATTTACTTCGATTTACTTCGATTTACTTCGATTTACTTCGATTTACTTCGATTTACTTCGATTTACTTCGATTTACTTCGATTTACTTCGATTTACTTCGATTTACTTCGATTTACTTCGATTTACTTCGATTTACTTCGATTTACTTCGATTTACTTCGATTTACTTCGATTTACTTCGATTTACTTCGATTTACTTCGATTTACTTCGATTTACTTCGATTTACTTCGATTTACTTCGATTTACTTCGATTTACTTCGATTTACTTCGATTTACTTCGATTTACTTCGATTTACTTCGATTTACTTCGATTTACTTCGATTTACTTCGATTTACTTCGATTTACTTCGATTTACTTCGATTTACTTCGATTTACTTCGATTTACTTCGATTTACTTCGATTTACTTCGATTTACTTCGATTTACTTCGATTTACTTCGATTTACTTCGATTTACTTCGATTTACTTCGATTTACTTCGATTTACTTCGATTTACTTCGATTTGCTTCGATTTACTTCGATTTACTTCGATTTACTTCGATTTACTTCGATTTACTTCGATTTACTTCGATTTACTTCGATTTACTTCGATTTACTTCGATTTACTTCGATTTACTTCGATTTACTTCGATTTACTTTGATTTACTTCGATTTACTTCGATTTACTTTGATTTACTTTGATTTACTTTGATTTACTTTGATTTACTTTGATTTACTTTGATTTACTTTGATTTACTTTGATTTACTTTGATTTACTTTGATTTACTTTGATTTACTTTGATTTACTTTGATTTACTTCGATTTACTTCCATTTATTTCTATTAATTTATTTTGAATAATTTATTTTGAATAATTTATTTTGAATAATTTATTTCGATTAATTTATTTAGATTAATTTATTTCGATTAATTTATTTCGTTTAATTTGTTTCGATTAATTTATTTAGATTGATTCAGTTTGATTTAAATCAATTTAGAACGATTTAGATCGATTTAGATTGATTTAGATTGATTTAGATCGATTTAGATCGATTTAGATCGATTTAGATCGATTTAGATCGATTTAGATCGATTTAGATCGACTTAGATCGATTTAGATCGATTTAGATTGATTTAGATTGATTTAGATTGATTTAGATTGATTTTGATCGATATCGATCGATTTCAATTGATTTTAATTTATTTTGATCGATTTCGATTTACTTTGATTGATTCTTTTTATTTAGATTTATTTCGATCGATTTTAACTGTTTTTGATTTATTTTGATTTATTTTTATTCTTTTCGATTCTTTTAAATTCAATTAGATTCATTTTAAATATGACAGAAATGTATTTTTGTTTAAAATATTGATGACAATTTTTTTTGTACTTTTTGCAGATATTTCATTAGTTTCGTCATCCAATTCCAATTTCACAGAGCTCTTTGCGAAAAGGCCGGTCAGTACGAGCCCAATAATCCAAAAAAACCGCTACACGAATGTGACATCTACGAAAATACTGATGCTGGCAACGCGTTAAAGTAAGAAATTAAATTGCTAAATTGTGATATTTTTTTGTGATTTATGTGAAAAAAATAAGGTAGCAGCAGTACTGCTCGCCACAGTTAAAATTCAGTACCCTGTACATAATAGTTATTGAACTATAGTGTCTTTTGTTTTCTAAGAAATTCGCGTTCCTAGTAATCTTAGTTGCCAGGTAGTCATAAAGTGAGGTGAACTTAATCTTTACCTTTTACTAGACTGCTACATAATAAAAGAGTATATTGTTTTTTAACCAACTATGACATTTTATTGTATTACAAGTATTAGAAATTAAAAATTTAAAAAAACCGACTTCAAAAATGTGCAGATGCCATCACCACATCTTAACCAAATTTATATGGGACCACCCCTGAGGTACCCCCTTACTAACAACAAAAGAATATAAATCGGACAAGGTGGTAAAGCATTATCGCTAAACATACATAAAAAATGAAGAGTTTGAGGATTTTCTCATGGACCCAATTTTTAGATTTTGACCAAATTTATATGGGACCACCCCTGAAGTAGCCCCTTTCTAACAAAAAAAGAATCATTGAAATCGGACACCGTGTTAAAGAATAATCGCTGAACATACATTAAAAAAAAAAAAAAAAAAAAAAAAAAAAAAAAAAAAAAAAAATATCGCGACGAATTGATAACCTCCTCCTTTTTTGAAGTCGGTTAAAAATCAGTAAAATGTCGTCGCTGATACTGCAACAGTTCGTATGCGATTTATCCAATAATAAAGCGGCTTTTGCATCTTATTTATTAAAAAAAAAACATGAAGAACTCATAAATTATTAATATTTTTGTATCTCCTGAAAATTTCGTTTTTTCCACATATCTATTACAGTAACAACGTCGATATATATAACTAGGGAATATCATATTTTTTTAGAAAAATGTTAGCCATGGGTGCTTCGAGACCTTGGCCAGATGCGATGGAAGCCATAACAGGACAAAGAGTCATGGACGCCAGTGGACTACTGCAATATTTCCAACCCTTGCAGGATTGGTTAGAGAAGGAAAATAAGAAAAACGGCGTTTTTATCGGTTGGGAAAAAACTAAAAGAGGTAAATGTGACAATATCAATGAGAATAACAAACAATTTTTAAGATACTTATCAAGTGTTATCACTTATAAAACGCGCAAAAATTATTCTTTTCTATAAAAAAGTATCTAAATTTACGTCAATGATCTAGGAAACATCCACAATATAGCTAGGTTTGAGATTTAAGCCTTTCAATATTGCAAGAAAATCTTTTTTTACGCTCTTTTCGAGCTTTCGCTTTTGGAATTTCACTAGTTTGACGAGAGTGATAAGGGGCATTATACATTACTATAACAGCATTTGGTGGCAAATTAGGAATTAAGTGTTCACCAAACCATTTCTCAAACAAGGTAAATGTCATAATATTGGTGATAATCTGCTGAACAACTCAAAATATCCTTTTAGCAAGCAATTCGACACAAAACCATTTTCATTACCGAAATGTAATATTATAACATATTTTCCTCTATTTGCAGAACATTTAGCAGATTGACCACGCCATCCTTTTTTTCACAATATCATGAGTGTCGTACCAAGTCTCATCAAGCTACCTTATGAATCTATCTTGCCGACGAACTTTATCTCTTCTAGTAAGGTATTCATGACGTAAAATCATAATTATTTAAGATTCCCTAATATGCTGTCTCTATTTAAGGTAGGATATCTAAAACCCAAAGAATGGAGCACTTTTCTAGTGATTTTGTCAGATTTGTAAGGGAAACCCGGAACCAACTTTATTTCATTTTTAATCATTTTCTTCTAACATCTAACATCAGATCTTTGATTTCGCTTTTTTCTTGGAAGACATTCCTGGCTCGTAATAACTTTTCTAATCGAAGGTTTTGAAATTTTTGTCAAATGTATATTCTTTCTATGACACCCTAATTAGTTCCATTATTTTCCAATTTTAATTGGTGGTACATATTTCGAATAATTTTTTGAGTTTGTAATATAATTGACACGTTGGAGCGCCAATATGCAATAATTGACATTACCTTGTGTTAATTTCAAAACACTTATAAGAGATTTTTACTAGCTCAGTGAAATTTAACATCAAACATTACTTACCTTTAAAAATTAAAAGAAATAAATGAGCACATTGACGATATTTTTCTCAGTCGTGAATTCGGCTTTTCTAATAGACATCTTTGGGGTAATAATTTTCTAGGAAAGTTGGGCACCAATAATTCTCTTTTTTAATTTTTGAAAGCTAGTGAGAATTATAAACTCTAGCTTTATCAAAAAAGAAGTTAATAAAAACTTATAGAAAATTTAATTTGAGTAAAAGAGAATTGTTGTATCCTTTAAAAAATAAGATTCAACATATATACTTATAATTTTATTCAAATAAAAAAAGAAACTGTTCAGGAACAAGTCATTTAAAGTTTATAAGGTAAATTAACTTTTATCTTGTCATTAATAAAATTAGCCACTATTTCTGCTACTCGAGCATGAACAGCATACCTCGTTCTGTTGTTCTCGTTATTACGTGTAACTTTTAGCTTTTAGCTTGTGAGTTTTAACTGTCAGCTTTCAACAATTAGTTTTCATCAGTTAGTTTTCATCAGTTAGTTTTCAACGGTTAGTTTCCAACGGTTAGTTTCCATCAGTTAGTTTTCAACGGTTAGCATTCCAGCTGCTCTTATTCGTTTTCTAAACAAAAATAAATTCTGTTTTTCACGTGGCTCTTGTATGAGATATAAATTAAATTTGAAACATCTACTTTTTAAAATTAAATCAAGATACAATAAAAACTGATTACTATAAACATTGTGCAGTTCCAGCAACCAGAATGAATTATAAAAACATATTTAGAAAAATTTAACTTTACTTTCAAAAAAACTAATAACTAACAATAGGTTGGAATATTTTTTCTACCGAGATATTTCACAATGACATTATACTTTTTTAATGCTTACCACTTTTACAGCCAAACACCACCAGATATGAAGAGATAGTAATCATAAATTAAATTTAAAAATCTAATGGCGAAATCGTTTGGTTTACTGTACTCCCACTTTCTTTGCAATAACGCGTTTTTTGGAGTAAATGTATAATAAAAATCTAAATAACAATATTCTAAATAATAACATGAAAAAAATTAATTTTAGTGTGGCAAAATGCATTTACCCTATGTTTACGGGATGATCAACAAAAATTTAAAAAATATATTATTAAAATTTATCATATTTATAAATGCCAATTGTTTGTTTCATTCAATTGTACCGTAAACGTTGAAACGGTAATCTTAATACTGGTAATTAATAATTATAAATTTATTGATCTTCTCACTTTTTTAATAAAGAATTCTCGTACAGTTTTAACATGTTCTCAGTATATATTAATATTCGACCCCCAATTATTAAGCCAAAAATTAACATTTTCCACTATAGAATTTACAGGTAAAATATAACCTTTTCTTTGTGAATCACCCTGTATAGGTAAACAATAATGTAAACTACCAAAGCCGACTTTGAACTGTTTAAATTTTACAATTTATGTGGGTATTTAAATATCAATTTAGTTGTTTTTGAAGTGCAACTGATCCTGTTTATTTAAAAAATATTTACTCAGAATTATAATTATTTACATACCCTCAGGGATTACATTATTTTCATCACTTTCAAAGGCTCTCCAAAAAGCCACTTTTTCATGAACCAAAAATTGAAACAGTAATGTGAATACAACACTGGATAAACAAACATTGTCCATCTGTGCTCAGTCAACACGGCGATAACAGCGTGCCGAATAACCAATTAGAACATAAGTTGAACAAAATCACAGATTTACTATTGAATATCCCAGTCAACGTGTACGGGCATTTCTTACGAGCTATCGTGGGCTACCACAAATAGAAATTTGAGAAAGGTTCGATTCAACCAATAGGAGACGCTAATATTAAGCTGTTATAATTAATCGAGCCGACAGATTCTCGTCGTACATAAAATATACAGAGTGGCTCAAAAGTCTGGAAACGGCCAATTATCTCGTAAATTGCTAATCCTAATTGTACAAAATTTGGGGTACACCTATTTTGGGATACGTTGATTCCAGATTTGATATTTGCAATGTTGCCAGATTTGCCGTTTCTCTTAAATTATTAGTCACTTTGGTTTTTCAAATTCATCACCCTGTATATTCAGTCATTATTGGAATCTCTTATTCAATACGAGTTTAACCATATATAACACTTATGATTTTATGTAGTCTGGAAGGCCTTAAATAAATAAAATAATTCTGGCAACGCCTAATTGTCTCAATAATTTTTTTAATACAAACTATTGTCAACTACATTAAAACGTAACAATTCAAAGATTATAACATTTTTAACATAATGGTTACTTTATCAAGTGTTCAAAATGTGCTCCATTTGTGAGTTGACAGTACCCTAATCGATGGTAGGATGCGTCTACCACATTTCTCCATGATTGTTTTATTTATTTAAGACCTTTCATATTACATAAAATCATAAGTGTTACGTATGGTTGAACTCGTATTGAATAGATTCCAATAATGACTGAATATACAGGGTGATGAATTTGAAAAACCAAAGTGACTAATAATATAAGAGAAACGGCAAATCTGGCAACATTGCAAATATCAAATCTAGAATCTCCGTATCCCAAAATAGGTGTACCTCAAATTTTGTACAATTAGGACTAGCAATTTACGAGATAATTGGCCGTTTCCAGACTTTTGGGCCACTCCGTATATTCGATCCTAGCTTCCAACATATTTGCTCGAAACGTACACAGTGGTTTAGCTGTAATACAATTGAACGCATCACTTTTTTTTGCTGTTTGACAACTGAACGTCGGCGGTGTTTTTGTGAATTATGTATAGATATATTAATAATGATGATATTTAATCTAATATACCGTCCGTATGCTCTGATATGTTAAATAATTAAATTGCTCTCATTTTCAAAATTAGGCTTTCATAATTTCAATGATCATTGTGTTATTCAAATGGACATTGAATGATAGTTGACAGTAGGTTCCTTTGTTCTCATCCAATGCTATGACCTTCCTGAACCTGTGACGTTTTCACTAAACACGCGTATTATGAAAAACCTCATCCATATCATAAAATATCTCTGCACGCAACACTCTATTTGTTCGTGTAAAGACAATTATACTTCTAATAGTTATCTCTTGTTTTTCTACGAGGTCCAATGGGACTTCTTTCTTTCTCTGTATTTAATGCCACTTGAAGTATGGATTGGCCAAATTTGTCTGTATACCTATTGGAACTATTGCGTTGACTATCTCCCAATTAGTAGGTATAGTAAAATAGTCGTCCCAAATATAACAAGACCTTGATTATAATATTCTGCTATTTTTGTTGTTGCTAAATTTCTCGAACATTTTACAATTTGATTCTACATAATTTTGGCATTAATAATCAATTGACTAAAGCCCTCGAACTAAAGCTCTCAGACTCTAATCAGATTTTTAATGCCAAAAATTATGTCTCATCAAATTGACATTAAAATATTCTCGAGATTTACATACAACAAAAATAGCCGACTATTATCAAGTTCTTGGTATATTACCCTTGATAATCTCTTTGCAGAGAATATTTTTATTTATTACATAGACACCGGCTGCGAAAGTTTTCATTCTTATTTATTGATTGACGTTTTTTGAGGGTCATCCAGTGGAATAATTTAAAAAAAATGATTAATTACATATAAATTAAATATTTTATTTACATTCTAAAGTTAAATATTTTTCGCAATTAAATAAAATGAAAAGTATATTATGTAGAATACTTATGTGAAACAAACATCTCGAAAGCCTAAACTAATGATTTTGTACGTATAGTGTTATTGATCAATTTTTGCAAATAAACATTACTGTTGTTATTATTACCTACTATTATTAGATATTATATACCGGATGTCCGCGTGAAAACTTCGAATGGCTTTATTTCATTTCTGCTATTTTTAAAGTATTTTTGTAAAGCGCTTTCATATACAGGGGTACATAATAGAATTTGTTATTATCCTCCCTCGCCTCC